GGTCCGGGGGGGGGGGGGGGGGGGGGGGGGGGGGGGAAGAGGAAATATCTGGACCCGAATCGAAGGCTCGTTTCTCGAACCTGTCCCGGATTGACATATCTGCTTCGGACATTACACAACGCCGGCTTTCCATTCAGTGACGGATTCACAGCACGAGAAGTCTTCCCCGTCACTCAGCTCACTGGGATATCTCGAGAATGCAAGACCTGGAAGAACGGGTCGGGTCTGTCCCAATCATTTTCCTTCCTGACATGAAATCCTGTCACGAGGGGCACTTTCAACCGCATGTCTCCGCAAGGGTGCACGCCTCTCTTCGCTATATATGAAGCGATTCCCTTTTTGAGTATGCTTGCGTTTCCAGCGACGCACAGAGATAAGTGATGGTGAATAGTAATCCTCATGCAATCTGTACTCCTGAACACGCAATCAATGATTGGGTACGGGGGTCCCATGGGATACGCAGTTATGAATAATTTTTAGAAACCTCCCGACCGATTCCATGCAATCTTAGCTTATGCTTTCCACGCGAAATGCAGGGAAAATTCAGGCAGATAATTACAGGCGGGGACAGGGGAGGGAGAGCGATTCCCCCCTCCACCCTTGTGCGTATATACCCTCCCTATCCAACTTCCTTTGGGGAAAATGTCCTCCGACACGCAGGAGGGAAGACACGTGTACTGTCTTCCCTCTTGACCTTTTCTAAGAGAACCAATTTATGGAGATCCTTATTTTTCTGACGTTGGTGCTAACGGCGTGTTGTGCGTAATGGATGAAGTCTGCGCGTATTCTAATCGACCCTCGAACCGACGACGATATCCTCGGCTGAATACGGGTACCTCCTCTTGACCCTCAATAACTACTTCGTATGCTGGCAAAACTCGATAGAAAGACGTCCGCGAGTTATCGAATGGAAGAGCCGAAGTGTGCGTCAGTGAAAGACGGCCGCAAAAGTAACTAGAACTTCAGGGGCCAGAGAGCGCTGCGATCAGGCCTCCTCCCTCTTCTCTCCGCTCCTCGTCGCTCATCCGTTGTTAAGATGGTGGCGACCTTTGTTCTTCAGCGCTCTATCACCTGAGGATGAGTCAGAGCGGGGGAGTTCCTCCATCTCGCTTGTTGCCTCAGAACAAGGAAGCTCTTCTGAAATCCTACAGCAAACGCCTGAAGGACGATGTCAAAACCATCATTGATAACTTCACTGGTGGGTTCCACAGCGTTATCTCTTGAGTGAGACGATTTTTCACTTCGACACTCATGCATGAGTAATGTCCCATGCACGAGTGCTCGAATCAAGTGAAAACATTGTAGCCTAGGGCTGATAGTAGGAACAGTCCTGTCATATGCATGGGCCTCTGATAGCCCAATTTGGCCTAGGCCTAATCGTTTTTTCCATAATGGATACCTTTCAACCTTAAGTGCTTCTTACAGCTTACCCTATTTCCCACTCCTTGTTATGGACGTTTTTTACGTGTAACTTTTGCCTATAGGCCCTAATCTCCAACTTTTTAGATCTGTGTGGATAATAATTGCACTGTTCAACCCATGTGACTGCCCACCTGCTTTGAATGAAGTAAGGATATGTTTAGGCTATAAGAGAAGGTAGAAGTTAAGTATCAAATCTAGCATTGGCATACCTGTCATTCCCAGTGACTAGGTGATCAATGTCAGTGATGGGGAAGAATTCTGTTCAGGTGAAGCGAAGGTATTAAGAGGGACAGCAAGTCAACATGTGGTGGTTGACTAGGGGATTCTAGTTAATGTGCAGAATGGAAAGAAGACAAGGGAGGCACCACTCAATTGGACAGGGTCTGCAGAGGCTCAGATGATTTGTTGAACACTGCAAGTATTGTGAATAAATGACCTGGGCATGTAGGAATCCAGTGTACTTAAAATTTGTGGGATTTTATGACTGAGAAGTCAATCAAAGTTTAGCTGGAGGTCTTTCTTAGTAATTGCTGAAGTAACTCATGTATGTAGGTATGTTACCTTCTGGCAGAAGTGCATTTTTGAGTTTCTGAAAGAAATGAAGTGCTTTTTTTTATTGCAGAAGCAGGAAGTACTTAATTCCCATTTCAGTCACTGACCTAACCAGTTATTTTGGGACAGTAATGTCCCTCAGTTGGATGACATGTGGTGCTATTCAGAAGGAAGTAAAGGAGGTGCAGCCAATAAAAAAAAGTCACTTCTTTTACTGATAACCTCCTTACACCTTGGTTTCTGGACTTACAGGCTGTTCACCTCACCACCATGTTGAGGTCTCACTTGTTGAGGACTCACTTGTTGAGGAGAATGCATGAGATATGCTTGCAATTAAATGCTACATCATCACATGTTCCTTGTTGATTTAGAAACTGGACAGAAAGGCATGGTTACTGACTGATAATGAAGGCAAGTTCACCCAGCTTCTATAAGGCTCTGGTTCAGACAATATTAGAAGCAGCTCATGGGTTACGTTTGACATATTCAGATGCCTATGCTTTTTCTTTTGGAAGACAGGCTTTGATAATGCACATCTTGCATTTTCATGCACCCAATCTGTTACTATCCATATTGAAAGTACAGTTTTGGAGAGCTTCAGGACTATTGCATCTATGCAGAATTGTCTAACTTGAACTGATGTTACTTTTATTTATCATGACATTTGTGTGACCATTTTTTGAGGTGCTATTCTGTCCATGCAATCCCAATGCTAAATCACAGAACTCTGGATAGATGAAGCCATTCCTTTTTATTATCTAGTCTATTACTAATATCTATTAACAAAAATGTAGTAGTAGTAGTTGTGAGTGTATTAGGGATCAATGCTTTACCCTCTCAAGAAATGTCATCTCATAAATATTAGCATTGTGGACACCATGTAAGCTTAAGTTTGTGATTTTCATTTCAATATAAGTCTAATAAAGTTGTTCTTACCCAAAGATTTTCCATCATTTTGAGAATGGCTTATTTTTCTTTTATGTATGGTAACCCTAGGAGACTGGGTTATTGGGTCACCAGTGCTAAACCAATCATAGTACATTAGTGGTATGCTATGCAGTTGCTTGTGTTTTTTCCTACCTAATTTTTCTGAACTTTGCCTTTAGAAATCGTGAAATTGGGCCGAGTTGAAGACGAAACTCAAGTGAACAGATTCACTCAACTGGAGCAAGATGGCATGGAAATGCAAGTCAGAGCTGCCAACATTGTAAGTAGGCCTATGGTAGGCCTAATTAGGAACTTAAGAGTTGGCTTGTGCAGTATTGCCTCAGGGGAGTGCAAATAAAGCTTGCAAAGTTTCTTTTACAGATTATGTATAATTGAAATTATGAATATGTAGAGTGGCATGAAGAAAGTGTGGTATTGGCACCATGTGATACAGCAGTTGAGCATGACAGATAAATTTCATCCTGAAAATAGGTGACAGAGATGGGGTATCTAACCTAATGGAATGCATGAAGAAGATGCTCAGGGGGATTAATTTTTTGGTCACAAAATTTTGCAGGACATTGAAAGTCACCATAAAATGCAGATAGTGTATCTCAACCAGTTTCATGTCATGGTGAAGTGCATACATGCATTGGAACTTTACCAGGAACTTGCTTGTGCTAAATTAGAACATGCAGTTGTTGCTGTACACTTCCTGCATTATTCCAAGTGAATTTCACTGCCCTTTGCAATTTCTGAGATGAAGAATTTAATTACTCCACATGCCTCTTAATAGGTAAACTCCACAAGGACAGATGCCATCTTTATTATAACATCTTCTGGATACTAGGTGCCTGCCACAGCTCACTGCAAGAAAATACAATACCAGTAGCCTACCACCTTCATGCCACACTTCACATTCATTCACAATTGTGTTTGTAACTTACTTGGTAAATAAATTTTTAGAGTTTTACTTGTACTCCCATTAAGTCCTTTCTATGCTTAAAGTGAATGTAGTCATTTTGGCTTCCTGAGCCCAATGGACTACATTCATCAGAAGATGATGAATCCCAGTAAAGTTATGAGTTTTTTTGGTATAATGAAAAAAAGAAATATAATTTCATAATGCTTTCCTTCATTCTAGATACCAGTAGACACCAGGGCAGGAGGCCTATTATTCACTGGCAGATTATATTCTCTGATGTCATTGTTTTTCCTGGTCATGGTATTGGTTTATTAGCATGACAGCAGAACGTCTTTTATCTTCCAGGTTCGTGCTGGAGAATCATTGATGAAGCTGGTCTCTGATTTGAAGCAGTACCTAATCTTGAATGATTTTCCATCTGTGAATGAAGCCATCTCAACCAATTCCAAGCTATTTCGTGCCATGCAGCAAGAGTGTGATAATAAACTGATGGCCCTTCGTGATGACATGGCAACAGAGCTGTATGAGATGGAAGAAGAGTATTACTCCTCCATGTATAAGTAACTGAGAAGCATCAATGCAGGCAGCCTCATTGCAAAACAAATCAGACAGAATCATGGCACGATGGATGCGTTCTTCTTTCATGGGCAGATGCATTCAATGCCTGGCCCTTGTGAAGTGGATTCCAGTAATTTTTGTCATCTTGGTGGTTGCATGGTCCTACTATGCCTATGTTGTTGTGTATTGCATTGTGATACTGGAGGGGAAGGTCCTCAGCCAGGTTCTTTTCATCATCCTGTACCATTTGATAGGAGGATTATTCATGTGGTCATATTACAGGACTATTTTTACCCCACCGGGACAAGTTCCAGCAGCATTCCATCTATCACCCACCGCCCTGGATCGATTGACTCAGGCTTCATCTAAAGATGAGAAGGGGGCCATTCTTGCAGAAGCTGCTGAAGGGTTGCCCATCCGGTGTCGGAATTATGATGGCTTGGTACGATACTGTGAGGTGTGTCAAGTGATCAAACCTGATCGAGCTCATCATTGCAGTGTCTGCACACGCTGTGTGCTCAAAATGGATCATCATTGCCCTTGGGTGAACAACTGTGTCAACTTCATGAACTATAAGTATTTCATTTTGTTCATGTTCTATGCATTCATCTTCTGCATCTATGTCTCCTTGTCGGTGTTGCCCGACTTCATCGTGTTTTGGGCCAAAGAGGATCAAAAGCATCGAGGCCTTAAGATCCATGTCATCTTTCTCTTCTTTGTGGGGATCATGTTTGCCCTGAGCTTGTCTTTTCTCCTCTTCTACCACATGTTCCTGGTTGCCAGGAATCGTACAACCTTGGAAGCATTCCGAGAACCCATCCTCATTGATGGGCCCAACAAAAGAGCTTTTGACATTGGGATCCTGAATAACATCATGCAGGTGTTTGGACCTGACATTCTATGCTGCTTTTTCCCTACTCATACTGCCCTGGGTGATGGAACCAGTTTCCCAGCTCGACATGGAAACAGGGTTTCCTATGAATCCATCACACCAGCGAGATCTCACTCTCCTGTGTCAGAGACTCAAATCCCCATGCCTGAGGATCCGTGCCGCAGAAGTGATGGTGATTTCGCTTTTTATCCTCCTGGAAACTGCAACGGTGATTTGGCTTTTCATCCTCATGGAAATTCCAAGTTATCTGACATAGTTTAGGGGGAAACTTACCATTTCTTTGTCAATACTTTTGGCATGTCATGCACTTTGTTATTGGCTGTGAGCATGATTCCTGTAATATCTTATCAGAAAGTCAAGGTTTGGCCAAAACCTTAATTTTTTAAATAACATATGGCTCTTTTGCTAAATATATTTTGACTTGCTAATGAAAAAATATCTTATGTTTTATTTTTTTTTTAGCGAGTCAAATTCTGAAAGTTCCTCCACCACTGAGCATGACTTTCACCTTATGACAGGTTAATGTTCCAGACCAGAGTTTGCATGTGCACATCTCCAGTCTCCCACATCCATGGTGATTTCTCTTCAAAGTAGAACTGAAGTGAATGCATGTATATTCCTCAACAGGCAGATTTGGATTTGCATTAAAGTCACCTGTATTGCCTCATAAGTAAAAAAAAAAAAAAGTCTTGAACCCAGATGATTGTGGATAGGAGCAACGTTTTCTCTAAAAAAAAAATTTCATTTCATTGTTTATGTTATCCTAGAAATTATTTGAAGTTTCATTGCATAGATCCTTGTTGAGCATGACCTTCATTGTGTTTCATTACTGCAGGTGGAATCCCAATAAGTCAGTTTGTGATTTAATTAATGCATTTACTGAACATGATCAGCTCTTTGAGGGGTGTTTGGGAGTTGTTAAAGTTGTTGCACTCTTGCAGATCTGATGGAAACAAACTTGAACCATGCAAAAGGGATTTTTTTTATTTGTATGAGGACTCAGAACTATGGCATGCAGCAGTGATCTTCATTCATCAGGGGTTCCCATTATTTGATGCAGTTCAACTCCTGTAATTGTGTTGCATTCATTATTTTCCTTGTATCTGACTATGATTTGATAAATTTGCATTATCATTGCAGTACCTATATTATGCAAAGTGAAGGGATGCAGGATGTGAACCTCTATTATTCATTTGTCAGAAGAGGTTAGAGTTTTGACATGAAGATTGACTAGCCTCTGCTAAATGAGTGCATCTTGCAGAAATGCTCAGACTCAAACATGCCCCTTATTTTGCCATTTCAATGTTCTTGCCTGGTTTTTTGGTGAGAGCATGTGGTACTGTATTTGATATCCATTACTGTATGCAAGGTGTTTCAAGTATTGTCTAAGGATCACCTGATATACTCAGCCTTCAGGTGAAACAGTAGAAATCTCCTTGGCTGTACTGCACATGGTCTACTTTTGTTACAAAAGTCTTTCTTTGGATTGAACTCAAGAGTTGCAATGTATGAGACAACTGATGGTCACCAATCGAGTTTGCCTTAATCACTCATGCAAGAAGCATGACTAATTAAGACCATGATGAGTTTGAAATTTGAGTGCCTTTGCATTTATTCTTGTCTATTTTATATTGTTTCATGATAGCAGTTAGATCGGTTTTCCGAATTCGCCTGAAAAGGTATGGTAAGAACAACACAGAAGGGAGGATGAAATTGCATTGGGTTGAACTTGCGCAAGAATTTCATTTGCAATTTTTATTCTTCCTTCTGTGATGTTCCCACCTGCTGCTTTCTCTTATTTTTCTGATCACAGCCATATTAGTGTGTATTTCCCCCAAACTCAATAGGTCATCTCAGAGCATCTGTCTGATGTATTTTTGGCATGGCTTGAGAGTTGTGCTGTCATATTTATTGTTCCACAACTTCGGATCGATTCGAAAATCGAACAGCACGAACTGAAGTACTTGAAGTATGTCAGGGAGTGTGCTCTTGTACTGTGATTGACTATTTTTTGCACAACTTTCTTTCGATCACTCATGTCCTGTGATCCTCAAGGTTCTGATCGTGTGAAATAAATTCTAATTGATGTTCAGCCTCACCGCCTATATCACCTCCTATACCAGTTCTTAATGGACTTTCCGCGTGATTGATCGAGGCTCAAACCAGCCTTCAAGTTCCTGGAAGCCTCATTAATGTTCAAACTTGATGTCTCGATTCCCTGTACCAGAAAGAAAAACTGCTGGGCCTGTTTTGCAGTTCACTTGACCCATATTCGGCATCTAGGAGTTGTGAACCGAGTTGCCCCAGAATACACTTCATACTGGCAACAACAAAAAAGTTGCTAGACTTTTTTACCATATTTTTATTATACGTCATCGTTTCGATATCCCCCCTGAAGAAGGGAAAGTAGTGAAGTTTCACTGGGAAAACTAAGGGTGGATTTTTGAACCGAGCTCTAAAATAATCCTGCTCTATAAAGTGGAGCATTATTTTTTCGATTTTTGAACTGGCCAGATGATGCTGCACCTCTGGATCAACTCTATTATAATCACGAACCGATGTCGAAATAAAACGGAGCATTATGGAAAATGCTCGGTTCAAAAATCACTTCTTTGATAGTAGAGCATTTTCCTGGAAATAAAGCTGCATTATCGGATAGTGCTCTGTTCAAAAATCCACCCTAAGAAACTTACAACAAAGTGATATAACTCGTGACGTAAAAGGAATCCACAAGTCGTATATAATATTTGTATTGTATATTGTATTCGGCACCAAACCGAAATTCGTCATCAGTGGTTACGTACAGTCAGCTTTCGACTATTTTCTGATGAGAAGTCAGGAGACGCTTAAAAGAAACGGGCAACGATTGGGAAGTTTTCTTCGCCGTTTGTGCGTTCGACGAGTTTTTCGATCAAGTTTAATCTTTTTCGTTGTTCGTCCGAGGCGATGTAAGGCGCCGCGCGATCGTCCTGCTTCTTGAGCACGGTTTCGCCGTGTTACAAACCCTTTTCGGCTCGGTCTCAAGGCACGCACCGAACGAGAACGACAGGCTGGCGACGTTTCGATTGCGAGCTTTCGAAGGGAAGTCGGGGCGTACTGACGCAGCTGTTTCGAGATTCGCCGCCACGTGCGTGAATCACGTGACAGGCTGGTTCGTCGACCCCCCCCCCCCCCTGCACTTCAAGGAGAACTTGATGCACGGAATTAATTCTGAGCTGTTTCTTTGCACTGTCAGAAATTGGAGCTGAGAGACGCCCTTGGGGAAAAGGCAAAAATGTCCACACAAATGACTTCCTCGATCTCCGCGGTCTCGCGTGAGAATAATGCAAGCGGCAAGGGAATTCCAAACTCTTTTTTTCTGGACTTGATAAAAAAAAAAGCAACCGCATTCGTTTGTCAAGAGGTCGAGGAAGCGCTGAAAACTTAGCTTTTCTATTACCAAACTACAATATTCGAAACGCAAAGTCAGTGTTGGCAGCCCCGAGCTTTCGTATTT